GAGAGATGGGGAGAGAGGAGAGATGGGGAGGGAGGGGATAAGGTCGCCAGGTTTATTGCTTCACTCTCTGTACCTTTTTAAAGAAAGGCTTTCAGGCGCGTTTCCGAACAGTGCTTAAGTGATCAGCATGTAAATTAATACACAGCAAAGTTAATAATATAACATTAATGCTGGCTCCGTGTGTGAGAGAGAGAGACAAAGATCCCCCGTATAGCCTCAACAGACTGTTGGGGCAAGTGCCGTCAGCAGGTCGCACCGACGAAAACTGTGGCACACGATGGGGTGGGTGGCCAGCACCACGCCCGGCCGCCTTTGTCTCCCCCAGTGGCGGTGTTTAACTGCTACACACACCGCTACGCCAAGGGGATCCGTGTGACCGGAACCCCACGAAAATCCCGGCCGCCTTTGTCTCCACCGGGCGCTAATCCGTTACACGCTGCACCAAGTTATCATTGTTGTTTTTTTTCGGCTGAGCCGACCTAGGGAAGGTCCTGAACGGTTCTGATACTGGACGTTGCTGGTAGGGTACACGGAGGGGGTACACAGACAGGGGGTAGGACTGGTATGGTACACAGAGGGGGTACACAGAGAGGGGGTAAGGCTTGTAGGGTACACAGAGGGGGTACACAGAGAGGGGGTAGGGCTGGTAGGGTACACAGAGGGGGTACACAGAGGGGGTACACAGAGAGGGGGTAGGACTGGTAGGGTACACAGAGGGGGTTCACAGAGAGGGGGTAAGGCTGCTAGGGTACATAGAGGGGGTACACAGACAGGGGGTAGGACTGGTAGGGTAGACAGAGGGGGTACACAAACAGGGGGTAGGACTGGTAGGGTACACAGAGGGGGTACACAAACAGGGGGTAGGGCTGGTAGGGTACACAGAGGGGGTACACAGACAGGGGGTAGGACTGGTAGGGTACACAGAGGGGGTACACAGAGAGGGGGTAAGGCTGGTAGGGTACACAGAGGGGGTACACAGACAGGGGGTAGGACTGGTAGGGTACACAGAGGGGGTACACAGACAGGGGGTAGGGCTGGTAGGGTACACAGAGGGGGTACACAGACAGGGGGTAGGACTGGTAGGGTACACAGAGGGGGTACACAGAGAGGGGGTAAGGCTGGTAGGGTACACAGAGGGGGTACACAGACAGGGGGTAGGGCTGGTAGGGTACACAGAGGGGGTACACAGAGAGGGGGTAAGGCTGGTAGGGTACACAGAGGGGGTACACAAACAGGGGGTAGGACTGGTAGGGTACACAGAGGGGGTACACAAACAGGGGGTAGGACTGGTAGAGTACACAGAGGGGGTACACAAACAGGGGGTAGGGCTGGTAGGGTACACAGAGGGGGTACACAGAGAGGGGGTAGGGCTGGTAGGGTACACAGAGGGGGTACACAGAGAGCGGGTAAGGCTGGTAGAGTACACAGAGGGGGTACACAGAGAGCGGGTAGGGCTGGTAGGGTACACAGAGGGGGTACACAGAGAGGGGGTAAGGCTGGTAGGGTACACAGAGGGGGTACACAGACAGGGGGTAGGGCTGGTAGGGTACACAGAGGGGGTACACAGAGAGGGGGTTTGCGGGATTTTGTCGCAGGGCCGCGTGATTCTGCCAACACGCGCACGCACGCGCACGCACAGGCAAAGCTCACCCGTGTAGCCTTCAACAGACTGCTGGGGCAAGTGCTGTTAGCGAGGGTCAGCACCTATGACGGCACACGCATACACGTGCACACACACACACCCACACACACGTGCACACACAACAACAACAACCGCCATTCGCCACTAAGTGGCGGTGACGTCACCACGACGCTTGTGCCAGGCCATGTGCACCTTGAGGCCACGTGAAGTGTCGAACGCCCGCTGGCAGGAGGTCACGGGGCAGACCCAAGTGCCACGGGTCGACTGACTAAGATGACCGAGATGATTGGCTGATGCACCACCTGTGCCCCCTACTGTGCCAACCTGCTGTGCTTTAGCCACCCGGCGCCCCGCTCGTTGTTGTGAGCGTCGCTCCTCCGCCCTCCGTTGTTGTTGGAGGGCGACTGCCTCCAACTGCCCAGTAGCAGCGTCCTTCACGAGCCTCCTCCACAGAGGCCGATCCTGTTCACTACGCACCGCTACACCAGCTACTCGCTCGAGGCTGAGTCGGCCTAGGGTAGCGGTAGATCGCTACACTACCCGCCATTCGCCACTAAGTGACGGTGACGTCGCCAGGGCACCGGTGCCAGGCTTGGTGCACTTTCGACGCCACGTCAAGTGTCGAAGGCTCGCCGCTGACAGGAGATCACGGGGCAGACCCAGCGGGTGTGTGCGAGTCTGTGGGTCTTTGTGCGAGTCTGTGGGTCTCTGTGCGAGTCTGTGGGTCTCTGTGCGAGTCTATGGGTCACTGTGTGAGTCTGTAGGCCTCTGTGTGAATCTGTGGGTCTCTGTGTGAGTTTGTGTGTCTCTGTGTGAATCTGTGGGTCACTGCGTGAGTCTGTGGGTCTCTGTGTGAGTCTCTGGGCCTCTGTGTGAGTCTGTAGGTATCTGTGTGAGTCTGTGGGTCTCTGTGTGAGTCTGTGTGTCTCTATGCGAGTCTGTGGGTCTCTGTGCGAGTCTGTGGGTCTCTGTGCGAGTCTGTGGGTCTCTGTGTGAGTGAGTCTGTGGATCTCAGAGTCTGCAGTTCTCTATGTCATGTGAGCTGAACGTCTTTCGCACCGTGCGTAGCCAACCCCGCCCATCGCAAAAGGTGACGGAACAGGCTGTTGAAGCCAACGTGGTATCTCCCTTCTGTCAGTGGCAGGGGAGATCCTTTGCCACGATATAGGTGACTGCTCTGCTTAGGAACGGGTTACGTTCCATACCTCTGTTTGTCAATTCAAAACGCGTTGTATGGGCATGCACACGAGACACGGGCAAAGGCCTTAAAAGTTGCATAATCTCCTGTAGTGTGTAGTGTATATTGCATTGTATAATGTGTAGTATACAGTGCGTAGTGTATAGGGTATTGTATAATGTGTAGTGTATAATGGGTGGTGTTGTGTATAGGGTATTTTATAGTGTGCAGTGTATTGTATAGTGTGCGGTGTATAGGTAATTGTATAATGTGTAGTGTATAGTGTTGTGTATATTATGTTGTATAGTGTGTAGTGTATACGGTATTGCATAGTTTGTAGTGTTTTATAGATGGTGTAGTGTATAGGGTATTGTATAGTGTGTAATGTATATTGTGTAGTGTTTAGGGTATTGCGTAGTGTGTAGTGTATAGGGTATTGCATAGTTCGTAGTGTTTAATGGATGGTGTAGTGTATCGGGTATTGTAAAGTATGTAGTGTATGGGGTATTGTATAGTGTGTAGTGTATAGTGGATGGTGTAGTGTATAGGGTATTGTATAGCGTGTAGTATATAGTGTCGTGTATAATGTGTAGTATATAGTGTGTAGTATATAGTGTGGTGTATAGTTTAGTGTGTAGTATGGTGTAGTGTTTAGTGTAGTGTATGGCGTAGTGTATAGTGTCGTGTATAATAGTGTATAGTGTAGTGTATAGTGTAGTGTATGGCGTAGCGTAAAGTAATGCATAGTGTAGTGTAAAGTGTAGTGTATAGTGTAGTGTAAAGTGTAGTGTTATGGTGTAGTGTTTAGTGTAGTGTATGGCGTAGTGTATAGTGTAGTGCATCGTGTAGTGTTTGGTGCAGTATATAACGTAGCGTAGTGCGCAGTGTATAGTGTAGTGTATAGAGTAGTGTCTGGCGTAGTGTATAGTGTAGTGTATGGCGTAGTGTACAGCGTAGTGCATGGCGTAGTGTATAGTGTAGTGCATGGCGTAGTGTATAGTGTAGTGTATAGTGTAGTGCATAGAGTAGTGTATGGCGTAGTGTATAGTGTATAGTGTAGTGTACAGCATAGTGCATGGTGTAGTGTATAGTGTAGTGTATAGTGTAGTGTATAGTGTAGTGTATGGCGTAGTCTACAGCATAATGCATGGCATAGTGTATAGTGTAGTGTATGGCATAGTGTACAGCGTAGTGCATGGCGTAGTGTATAGTGTAGTGTATGGCGTAATGTACAGCGTAGTGCATGGTGTACAGGGTACAGCGTATTGCATGGCGTAGTGTATAGTGTAGTGTATTGCGTAGTGTACAGCGTAGTGTACAGCGTAGTGTATGGCGTAGTGTACAGAGTAGTGCATGGCGCAGTGTATAGTGTAGTGCATGGCGTAGTGTATAGTGTAGTGTATAGAGTAGTGCATGGCGTAGTGTATAGTGTAGTGTATAGTGTATGGTGTAGTGTATGGCGTAGTGCATGGCGTAGTGTATAGTGTAGTGTATGGCGTAGTGTATAGTGTAGTGTATGGTGTAGTATATAGTGTAGTGTATGGCGTAGTGTACAGGGTACAGCGTAGTGTATGGCGTAGTGTACAGGGTACAGCGTAGTGTATGGCGTAGTGTACAGGGTACAGCGTAGTGTATGGCGTAGTGTATGGCGTAGTGTATGGCGTAGTGTACAGCGTAGTGCATGGTGTACAGGTTACAGCGTAGTGTATAGTGTAGTGTATGGCGTAGTGTACAGGGTACAGCATAGTGTATAGTGTAGTGTATAGTGTAGTGTACAGGGTACAGCGTAGTGCATGGCGTAGTGTACAGCGTAGTGTACAGCATAGTGCATGGCGTAGTGCATAGTGTAGTGTATAGTGTAGTGTATGGTGTCGTGTATAGTGTAGTGTATAGTGTAGTGCATGGTGTACAGGTTACAGCGTAGTGTATGGTGTAGTATATAGTGTAGTGTATGGCGTAGTGTATAGTGTAGTGTACAGGTTACAGCGTAGTGTATAGTGTAGTGTATGGCGTAGTATATAGTGTAGTGTATAGTGTAGTGTATAGTGTAGTGTATAGTGTAGTGTATAGTGTAGTGTATAGTGTAGTGTACAGAATACAGCGTAGCGCGTGACGTACGAACCCGAGCCTCCTCACCACCACCACCACCACCACCACCCACCACCACCCCACCGTGTGTAGGTGCAGATGCTGGTGGACTCCTTCAAGGCGGCGAGCTCCGAGATCGCACGCGGGTGCCGGCGGATGAGCGAGACGCTGCTGCTGCGCATCGACGACCACGACGAGGAGGAGGTGGAGGAGGAGGTGGAGGAGGTGGTGGAGGAGGGGCACGGCCGCCGGAACCGGCGAGTCTTCTCGGCGGGGGAGTTTGTGCCGGAGCAGCGGCGCCGTCGCGACGCCGCCCTCGGACGCCTCCTGCGGGAGCACGAGGGGCTGCTGGCGCTGCTGCGGCGAACCCACGAGGCGTTCCGCAGCGACGGCGCCGAGGTGAGCGCTCGCGGTGGTTGGTGGCGGTGGTGGTGGTGGTGGTGGTTGGTGGTGGTGGCGGTGGTTGGTGGTTGGTGGTGGTGGTGGTGGTGGTTGGTGGTGGTGGTGATGGTGGTGGTGGCGGTGGTGGTTGATGGTGGTGGCGGTGGTGGTGGTGGTGGTGGTGGTGGTTGGTGGTGGTGGTGGTTGGTGGTGGTGGTGGTGGTGGCGGTGGTGGTTGATGGTGGTGGCGGTGATGGTGGTGGTGGTGGTGGTGGTTGGTGGTGGTGGTGGTTGGTGGTGGTGGTGGTGGTGGTTGATGGTGGTGGTGGTGGTGGTTGATGGTGGTGGTGGCGGTGGTGGCGGTGGTGGTGATGGCGGTGATGGTGATGGTGGTTGATGCTGGTGATGGTGGTGGTTGGCGGTGGTGGCGGCGGTGGTGGCGTGGTGGCGGTGGTGGCGGTGGTGGTGATGGCGGTGGTGGCGGTGGTGATGGTGGCGGTGGTGGCGGTGGTGATGCTGGTGATGGTGGTGGTTGATGGTGGTGGTGGCGGTGGTGGTGGTGGTGGCGGTGGTGATGCTGGTGGTGACGCTGGGTGGTGATTTTGGTGGTGATTTTGGTGGTGACGCTGCTGACGGTGATGGTGGTGGAGCACCGATCCTCGTGGGAGCCCGTCAATCGAGCAAGCGTGGCTCCGCCGACACGGCAACGCCGGTTGGACGGTAGCCACGGTGGGAGTCGGAGGGTCCCCCCGGCACCCGATGGGCCTCGTCACCTTCGGCACGGGGCCCTCCCCCCCCCACCGCGGCGTTCGCCGATCCGGTGGCCTCTCCGCCGGCGACGGTGCGGGCGGGGGGGGCGGGGGGCGGGAGGGGGGGGGGGGGCGGGAAATGCCGAGGAGGTCGTCGCCGGCGTGGCACGTTCTGGCGGTGATTCGGTGGACGTGGCGCTTTGTGCATTTGGCGGCACTCTGCGCGGCGTCGTATCGCTCGGTGGTGGCGGTGGTGGTGACGGTGGTGGTGGTGGTGGTGATGGGGGTGACGGTGGCGGTGGTGGCGGTGGTGGTGACGGTGGTGACGGTGGTGGTGGTGGTGGTGACGGTGGTGGTGGTGACGGTGGTGACGGTGGTGACGGTGGTGGTGGTGGGGGAGCGGTGGTGCAGCGGTTAGCGCTACGCCGCGCTACGAACCCGGCGACCCGGGTTCGATTCCCGCTCGCGGCCACCAACACCACGGGTGACGATTATCTGAACCGGTCCCGGGCCTCCCCTAGGTCGACTCAGCCTCAAATGAGTAGCTGGCGTAGCGGTGTGTGTAGTAAGCATCGCCACTGGGGGAGACAAAGGCGGTCGGGCGTGGTGCTGGCCACCCACCCGCTCGTGTGCCGTTCTGGCCTTCGTAGGTGCTGCTCGCTAGCAGCACTTGCCCCTGAAGTCTGTTACAGGCTACACGGGGGACCTTTGTCTTTGCACTGACACATGCGCGTGCATTAATTAACGCCTCCTCGTTACGCTGATGGCATCAGCAGCATGACAATTAATTGTCTCGGTGTGTCCGTGTGAATTGGGTGGGATGGGTGGGGTGGGTGGGATGGGTGGGGTGGGTGGGGTGGGTGGGGGTGTTTGGGGTGGGTGGGGTGGGTGGAGTGGCAGGGGTGGGTTTTGTGGGTGGGGGTGTTTGGGGTGGGTGGGGTGGGTGTTGTGGGTGGGGGTGTTTGGGGTGGGTGGGGTGGGTGGAGTGGCAGGGGTGGGTGTTGTGGGTGGGGGTGTTTGGGGTGGGTGGGGTGGGTGTTGTGGGTGGGGGTGGGTGTTGTGGGTGGGGGTGTTTGGGGTGGGTGGGGTGGGTGTTTGGGGTGGGGGTGTTTGGGGTGGGTAGGGTGGGTGTTGTGGGTGGGGCTGTTTGGGGTGGGTAAGGTGGGTGTTGTGGGTGGGGGTGGGTAGGGTGGGTGTTGTGGGTGGGGGTGTTTGGGGTGGGTGGGGTGGCTGGGGTGGGTGTTGTGGGTGGGGGTGTTTGGGGTGGGGGTGTTTGGGGTGGGTGGGGTGGGTGGAGTGGCTGGGGTGGGTGTTGTGGGTGGGGGTGTTTGGGGTGGGTGGGGTGGGTATTGTGGGTGGGGGTGTTTGGGGTGGGTGGGGTGGGTGTTGTGGGTGGGGGTGTTTGGGGTGGGTGGGGTGGGGTGGAGTTGGTGGGGTGGGTGGGGGTGGAGGTTGGGTGGGGGTTTTGGGTGGGTGGGGTGGAGCTGGTGGGGGTTGTTGTGGTGGGTAGGGTGGGTTTTGGATTGGGTGGGGGTGTTTGGGGTGGGGTGAGTGGGGTGGGTGGAGTGGGTGGAGTGGGGTGGAGTGGGTGGGGGTGTTTGGGGTGGGGTGGGGTGGGTGGAGTGGGTTGAGTGGGTGGGGGTGTTTGGGGTGGGGTGGGTGGAGTGGGTGGAGTGGGTGGGGGTGGTTGGGGTAGTTGGGGTAGGGTGGTTGGAGTGGGGTGGAGTGGGTGGGGGTGTTTGGGGTGGGTGTGGGGGTGGTTGGAGTGCTGCTGCTGGGAACGATGTAGTGCATAGTGTAGTGTATAGTGTAGTGTAGTATAGTGTATAGTGTAGTGTAGTATATAGTCTGTAGTGTAGTATATAGTGTAGTGTATAGTGTAGTGTATAGTGTAGTGTATAGTGTAGTGTATAGTGTAGTGTATAGTGTAGTGTATAGTGTAGTGTAGTATAGTGTAGTATATAGTGTAGTGTATAGTGTAGTGTATAGTGTAGGGTATTATAGTGTATAGTGTAGTGTATATTGTATAGTGTATTGTATAGTGTAGTGTATTATAGTGTATAGTGTAGTGTAGTATAGTGTAGTGTATAGTGTAGTATATAGTGTATAGTGTATTGTATAGTGTAGTGTATTATAGTGTATAGTGTAGTGTATTGTAGTGTATAGTGTAGTGTATAGTGTAGTGTATAGTGTAGTGTATCGTGTAGTATACTAGTACAGCACTAACTGGTTGTGTGTAGGCGCGTTAATCCATTGCAACATTTACAATGATAGTCCTGGAATGATCACCATTCCTCCCGAAACCTTCCCATACTGGCCGCGACGGATTCATACTCACTCGAACTAACCCCCCCAACACACGTACAACATAGCTACGACATGCGTGCGACATGCGTGTGCGTACGGGGCGGCAAATTCATTCCCACTGGTGATGACTCTTCTGGAATATCACCCTGAAAAAATATTTTAAGTATTGAAATAATAACCAGAGCACACCCCCTCCCCCCCTCACTCCTTCCTCTTGCCCCCCCCCCCTCCGACCCCATTCCCAACAAAATAAATACATCGCATCGGCGAAACTTCAAACATAGCGGCACCGACTTGAAGGCCCGAGACGTTTTGTGGGAACGATGAGAAGCGGCGGCGGTGGCGGTGGTGGGGGCTTGTGTGTCGGTGTTATTTCTCCAAACAAGACGTCCGCCCGCTGTCTCGCTCGCTCGCTGGTCCGCTCGTCCGCTAGCTCGATCGCTGACCCGCTCGCTCGTCCGCTCTCTTGCTCGCTAGCTCGCTCGCGCGCTCGCCCGCTCGTCCGCTCGTCCGCTAGCTCGCTCGCTGACTCGCTCGTCCGCCCTCTTGTTTGCTCGCTAGCTCATCCGCTCGCTCGTCCGCTCCTCTGCTATCTCGGTCGCTCGCTGGCTCGCTCCTCCGCTCGCTCGCTCATCCGATCACTCGCTCCTCCGCTCGCTCGCTCATCCGATCACTCGCTCCTCCGCTCGCTCACTCATCCGATCACTCGCTCCTCCGCTCGCTCACTCATCCGATCCGCTCGCTCACTCATCTGATCACTCGCTCCTCCGCTCGCTCACTCATCCGATCGCTCGTTCGTCCGCTCGCCCGCCCGCTCATCCGCTTGCTCGCTCGTCCGCTCGCTCGCTCGCCCACTCATCCGTTCGCTCGCTCGTCCGCTCGCTCGCTCGCTCGTCCGCTTCTCCGCTCGCTCGCTCGTCCACTCGTCCACTCGCTCGTCCGCTCGCCCACCCGCTCGTCCGCTCGTAATGGGTCAGCACACTGGGCTAGGTTCACTCACAGGGGGTGGATACTTCCTCGATCCTTTGAGGCTCCACAATCATCACACGTACACGTACGCACACACAAACACACACGTGTATCAAAGATCCCCCGTGTAGCTTGTAGGGGCAAGTGCTGTTAGCGTGCACCTACGAAGGCCGGCACGGTGGCACACGAGGGGGTGGGTGGCCAGCACCACGCCCGGCCGCCTTTGTCTCCCCAGTGGTGATGTTTACTACACCACCGCTACACCAGGTACTCATTTGTGGCTCAGTTGACCTAAGGGAGGCCCAGGACCGGGTCAGATAATCGTCACCGGTGTTGGCCGTGAGCGGGAATCGAACTCGGGTCGCCGGATTTGTAGCGCAGCGTAGCGCTAACCGCTACACCACCGCTCCCCACAAACACAGACACACACAGACAAAACATAGACAAAGATCCCCCATTTAGCCTTAACAGACTGTAGGGGCAAGTGCTCTTAGCGAGCACCTATGAAGGCCGGCACGGCACACGAGGGGGTGGGTGGCCAACACCACACCCGGCCGCCTTTGTCTCCCCAGTGACGGTGCTTACACATCGCACCAGGTACCCATTTGAGGCTGAGTCGACGTAGGGGAGGCCCGGCACCGGTTCAGATAATCGTCACCGGTGTTGGCCGTGAGCGGGAATCGAACCCGGGTCGCCGGGTTCATAGCGCAGCGTAGCGCTAACCGCTACACTGCCGCTCCCCACACACACTCACAGACACACGCTCACAGACACACAGACACACACACACAAACACACACAAACAGGCAAACACAGACACACACACACACACCCGTTGCCTTGAGTTTGCGCGTTGTTCCTCTAGGGTTTTGTGTGCGTCTTTGCGGGGGCGTGCACAACCCTCCATCACCCGAGTTCGATTCCCGCTCAGGGCCAACATCGGTGGCAAATGCCTAGGACCGGTTCCCGTCACGTGCCTGGTGTGGACTTCTT